ACCTTCATGGACGGGCTGCAGAATTGGGCGAGGACCAAGTTAGAGCGGCGTCAAGTAAAAACCATCGATGAGGCCATCACTCAAGCCGAGACCTTGACAGATTTCAAACATGATCGTTTGGACAAGGCAAATGGCAAGGAAGCAAAGGGCAGTCAAGCTAAAGGCGGGGGAGACCGTGACCGAGGCAGAGAACTGTCGGCACAACCCAAGCAACAAGACACACCCAAGTCCGATGGCAGACGGTTTGAACGCCGAAAATTCTCGGAGAAGCAGACGCAGTCCAGTAGAGGAGACGGGTGCTGTATATGTGGCGGACCACACGGTTACGCCAGGTGCCCAGAGATGAAGAGTCTTAGTGCCATCGTCCGTGAGCGGAAGGAAAAGGAGGCACAAGACAAGGCGAAACCGACAGACACCACTCAGTTGGGCATGGTTGGAATCTGTGGTGCCATAGCAAAGCAGGCTGATAACCCGGGGGATTTCAGCACACAATATGTGGATATCTCCATCAATGGGCAAGCAGTTCGGGCCATGGTAGATTCTGGGGCTGAGGCTAACATCATGACCAAGGCGGCGGCAGAGAAATTGGGACTGAAAATTGTTCCAAGCAACAATCGCCTCAAGACGGTCAACGCCCCACCAACTCCCGTGTGTGGAATTGCTCATGGGGTCAGCATCACTTTAGGACGGTGGAAAGGTAAGACAAACTTTATCGTAACTCCTTTGGATATATCCGACGTCATCCTTGGGCAGGAATTCTTTCAACGTTGCCACACGATGATTGATCCCTACCTTCAACAACTCATGGTGATGGAAGGGGAAGGGTCTTGTATGGTGCCTCTTATTAGGGTGCCGAAGAAAGACGGATTTGCCCAACTGTCGGCCATGCAGATTGTGAAGGGCCTGAAGAAAGGAGCGCCAACCTTTTTAGCCACCATCGCAAGTTTAAGTGAAGACCATGGTGCTATGCAGCCACTGCCACCTATCATAGAATCTGTTTTACAGGAAAACAGCGATGTGATGCCGGAGGAGCTACCGAAGACACTACCTCCAAGGCGCGAGGTAGATCATATGATTGAGTTGGAGGCGGGAGCCAAGCCACCTGCGCTTGCACCTTATCGCATGGCTCCGCCTGAATTAGAAGAATTGAGGAAGCAATTAAAAGAGCTCCTCGAAGCAGGTCATATTCGTCCATCCAAGGCACCCTATGAAGCGCCGGTGCTGTTTAAGAAGAAGAAGGACGGGTCGATGCGTCTATGCATTGATTACAGGGCGCTCAACAAGATCACAATCCGGAACAAGTATCCAATCCCGCTGATTGCAGATTTGTTCGATCGTCTTGGAGAGGCCAAATACTTCACCAAGATGGATCTTCGGAAAGGCTACTATCAAGTGCGCATTGCAGAGGGGGATGAGCCAAAGACAGCATGCGTGACCAGGTATGGAGCATTCGAATGGTTGGTGATGCCTTTCGGCTTAACCAACACACCTACCACATTTTGCACGCTGATGAACAAGATTTTGCATCCCTACTTGGACCAGTTCGTAGTAGTGTACTTAGATGACATTGTTGTCTATAGTAGCACTTTGCAGGAGCATGTAGAGCACTTGAAGAAGGTCTTCAAAGTCTTGCGGGAAAATCAGCTCTATGTCAAGCGGGAGAAGTGCGAGTTCGCCCAACCAAAGATACATTTCTTGGGCCATGTGATCAGCCAAGGTGAGCTTTGTATGGACGAGGCAAAGGTAAAGGCGATCCAAGATTGGGAAGCGCCTACGAAAATGACCGAGCTACGTTCTTTTCTTGGACTTGCTAATTATTATCGCAGGTTCATCAGCGGGTACTCCGCTATTGCTGCACCAATGACCGAGCTGCTGAAGAAGAACAGGCCTTGGTTGTGGAGCGAGGAGTGCGAGGAAGCGTTCGAGGGTCTTAAGGCTGCGGTTACTAAAGAGCCAGTCTTAATGCTGCCTGATTTCACCAAGACCTTCGAAATCCATACGGATGCTTCTGATTTTGCCATTGGGGGAGTCTTGATGCAGAAGAAGCACCCCATAGCATTCGAAAGCCGGAAGCTGAATGAAGCGGAACGACGGTACACTGTACAGGAGAAGGAGATGACAGCCATTGTGCATTGTCTACGCACATGGAGGCATTATCTACTAGGCTCCAAATTTGTAGTAAAAACTGACAATGTTACCACTAGCTATTTTCAGTCGCAGAAGAAGATCACACCAAAGTAGGCTCGTTGGCAGGATTTCTTAGCGGAATTTGACTACAACTTGGAGTACAAACCAGGAAGGGGCAATGTGGTAGCCGATGCATTGAGCAGAAAGACTGAATTAGCGGCCATCTCCTCAGTCCTAGTGAATTCCAAGGCGCAATCAAAGACGGTATGCAACGCGATCCAGAAGCCAAGAAGATTATGGAGCTAACTGCTCAAGGCCAAACCAAACGGTTTTGGGTAGAAGATGGATTCCTGTTTACCACTGGCCGGAGGATTTATGTACCAAAGTTCGGGTTCATCAGGCGGCGTATTATCAAAGAAAGCCACGACACTCCGTGGGTTGGGCATCCGGGACAGAAGAGAACGAGGGCGTTAGTGGAGGCCTTCTATTTCTGGCCACGTATGCGAGAGGAGATTGAGCAATACGTGCAGACTTGTCTAGTGTGCCAGCAAGACAAGGTAGAGCAAAGGCAACCAGGAGGGCTGTTGGAGCCATTACCCATAGCTGATCGTCCATGGGAGAGCATATTTATGGATTTCATCACTTCTTTGCCGAAGTCAAACGGGTTTGGCACTATTATGGTCGTAGTGGATAGATTTTCCAAATATGCTACATTCATGCCTGCCACAGCCGGTTGTACTGCTAAGGAAGCTGCACAATTGTTCTTTAGAAATGTTGTGAAGTATTGGGGGCTGCCGAGGTTCATCATTAGTGATCGGGATCCGAGTTTCACAGGGAACTTTTGGAGTGAACTCTTCGAGATTCTTGGTTCAAAACTTCACTTTTACACCAGTTTCCACCCCCAAACTGATGGCCAAACTGAACGCGTCAACGCCTTGTTGGAATGCTATCTTAGGCACTATGTTAGTGCACATCAGAAAGATTGGGCTAAGCTCCTAGACATGGCGCAATTTTCTTATAATTTGCATAGGAGTGAATCTACAGGGCGCACACCGTTCGAGTTAGCAACGGGCCAGCAACCCCAAACTCCGCACTCATTGCCAACATTGTTCGAGGGGAAGAGTTTGGGCGCTTACAACCTTGCCAAGGGTTGGGAAGAGCAACTCGATCTTGCCAAATCTTATTTGAGCAAGGCGGCAAGGAGGACGAAGAAGTTCGCCGACCGCAAGCGACGTCCCACCAACTACAAAGAAGGTGATATGGTTTTGGTAAAGTTTAATCCGAGGCAGTTTAAGGCGCTTAGAGGTATGCATCACAACCTGGTGCGGAAATATGAGGGTCCGTTCAAAATTGTTGCCAAGGTGGGTAAGATTTCATACAGGTTGGAGTTACCTCCACACTTCAAAATCCACCCGGTCTTTCATGCCAGCGTCCTTAAGCCTTATCATGAGGACAAGGACGATCCCAGCCGGAACAAATCACAACGGGCCCCTATCACCGTTACTGCCTCGCATGATCGTGAAATTGAAGCTATCATAGATTACCAAGCCAAGCGGAAACGAGGCCAGCAGGCCAGCGCCATGTTTCTCGTACATTGGAAGGGACAAACTCCGGAAGAAGCCATATGGGAGAAGTACGAAGACTTGTGGCAGTTCAAAGACAAAATTCAGGAGTTCTTGCAGCAATGCGTCGCGGTCGTCGCATCATGGGGTGGGGGAGATTGTGACGTCCCGCCATCCATTCAGGCCGAACGCCACCCTACGAGGCAGCCAGCAGGCGCAGCAGACGCAAGGGAGCAGGCTGACTACGCAGGTCAGCAGCCAAGGGGGTCAGCAGCAGCTGAAGAGACAACAGTTACAACAGTTTCAGCTGTTACACTTGTTAGTGGGGTGGCTGTTACAAGAGTTACAAGTCTTTGAGAGGCTTGTGGAGATCATGGGGCAGACTAGGAGCATCTAGGAGTCCTTTTTGGAAGACTTAGAAGCTTGTCTTGTAGGCATAGTCTTAGGAACTTGTATAGTTTATTTACTAACTCTTAGGCAGCATTAGAGTAGTATAAATAGTAGATTATTTTACTTGTAAAGCATCCAATCATTTTTCAAGTAATAGAAGTTCCTTCTTCCAAAGTTCTGTCTGACTTCTTATTTTTCTTAGCGATCTGAGTTTTAGGCTTACTAGAGTTTGCAAGAACGTGCAAGAGTCGTGTGTAAATCGTCTAGTGCCGCACGGAACATTGTCCGAATCAAAAAGTCCGTGACATTAGGCCCACAATACCCACACATTACTTTGCGTAAATCTTATAAATACTAATATTATAAATTATCTATAATTTAGTTTGATCGAGATCATATTTTAGTTTTAATTATAACTCAACTATGTATATCATGATGACAACTCACATTATCTTTCATTTATTTTTAATTTTTCTTTAAGGTCGTATTACTCATTTTTCTTGTATTTAGATTTTCATAGATGCTCCTTAATTGTTAAACAAAATTTTAGACTATAATATTTTTTATTTTATTTCTAAAATGTTATGATCCTTTTGAATTTCAAATATATGCTTCCTTTTAAAGAAAAACATTTTGTTTAAAAAATGTGACCATTCACAAAATATGATCAATTATACTTTTTTTTTCTTTTACTTATATTAATCAATTCAAATAGAAATAATTTTCACATTTTATTTGTTCAATATAGAAAAAAGCAAAGAAACATAACGTATGGAGATTCTACATTTGAAAAAATTCAAAATAGAGTAGTTGGGTAGTAAGTAATGGTGACAAAAGAGCAGTCATAAATAGGAAAACATAGAATTAAGAGCCAAACATATTTCTTTATATTTAGCAAAATCTTTCACTTTAAAATAATTTAATAAATGCACCAACTGAAAAAGAAAAGAAAAGAAAAAAAAAAGGAAGAGATATACCCAATATTTCTCTGTCGGCCCCTCCCAAACCTAGGGTTTTAACCCGCACCGTCAAAATCCGATTCCTACTGGAGCTCCGTTGCTGGATCGATCTTGACACCGGCAATGTCGCCGGCGTCGGATAACTCCCTGTCGGATTCTCAAACACAACGTTTAAATGATCTTTCGGTAAGTCCAGTACATTCTGTAGTTTAATGGTTTCTTCAGATACATTTGATTGTTTTCCAATGTTACACTGAATTTACGAAAGATCTATTAATTTATTTTGTATGATTATTGATTTTTGTAACTTTTATGGCGAATTAACACCTACATTGTATTTCTATAGATCCTTTAGCTCCAGGTTTAGTTAACTCGTATTGATGGAACATAGCTGGAATATTTTTTTAAAAGCACAGATGGGAACATTTAATTTTTTTAGTCTTATTTGTTAATTTTCTCGAAGGAAAAATGGTGAATTTTTGCCAGCTAGGCATGAAATGAAAAAAAATGTATTGCCAGCTATGTTTTTGATCAAGTTGAAAGGTGGATTTGTTTCATATGTTGTATAAAGTTTGATGTTTTAATGGAGATACTGCTGTACTATGGAAGTTAATGGCTAATTCAGAGTTTTGGTTGTGCAGTATAATAGGAAATCTTGTACTGACAATGGCCTTTTTTTTGTTCATAGAGATAATATGAGCTTCTTTCCATGATTTCATAAATTCAATGTACATCTACCTTGTTTTTGAGAAATTAAATGTCGAAGACATCATAAATCAGTTCCAAGTAGGTAATATGAACTGTGGCGGATCCATGATTTTTACTGAGAGGGTTCAAAAAATAAATATGCAGTGTTTGAGAATTGAACTTGAACCTCAAGATTAATTTTGAACTCCTATATATATATGTATATATACATGCATACGTACGTACATATAGAATTAAAAAATTATCTTGTATAGATAGTGTAATTTTTTGCCGAGTGGGTTAGGGTGAATACCCTTGGCCCCCTCTAGACGTGCCCTTTTATTGACTATGTCACGTGTGGGAGGCTCTCACTTCAAATTTTGAGGATGGGAAAACATTTATCTAATCTACATTTGAGTATTTGTTAATTGTTAATTCTTTTTTTATGATCGTGGTGTCCGGGCTAGCTTTCGCGTACCTCGACTAATTCCATAGGATACATGGCATCTCCCTAGCAACAGGTATCATACAACTCTGTCCACCAAGTCTAGTTACATATGAGAAGAATTACTTAGTGTTTGCTGGATAGTGGACCTGAGGCCTCATGGTTCTCAATCACTTCATTGACCACTAGGCCACATCCTTGGGGGTGTCAATTGTCAATCCTCTTGCCACCAATAATTCCATTTTCCATTTTTGTGAGTATAAAATGAAAATGCCTGTGTCCAAATTAAGTGGAATAGCTATTGAGGAGTCATAGCTAGTATGCAAATGAGGCATTGTTGTTGTTGTTGTAAAATTGGAAGACTATTATTCTAAGTATTTTAAGCTGTTATTTTCTTGACAGATTGTTTCTCCTGAAGAAGCAACTGTAGAACCCGATGAAGTATTATCAGTTATTGAATCTTTGAAGAGAAAAATTGCTTCTGAACGTGCTGATTATATTAAGGTGCTCTTTCTGTATTTCAGTTTGTCCTGCATTCTGCCCAACAATTAGTCTGAATTTTGATGAAGGGTATCTTTACTGTATTTTACAACTAATGAGACCTGATTTCTTCTCCTCTCAGAAAAGGGTAGAAGGAAATACACAAAAGTTGGAGAATTTGACAAAGGATCTTTATAATTTGGCAACAGAGAGAAAATGTCTTGAAATCTTTGATGCTGGCGGAAAAATTGATCTACTATCGAAAAGACAAAAGGATGCACTTGATATGCAAAATGGCATTGATACCAGTAATGGAGACGATGATAGTAATAGCTCTGAAGATGATGGATACGCCACTTCTGCAATTCTTTTAGGATCAAGTATTGCAGTCAAGAATGCCGTACGTCCCATTAAACTTCCAGAAGTAAAACGCATCCCTCCATATACTTCATGGATATTTTTGGATAGGTATGTTATGTCTTCACAAAGTACGCATCTGCTGTTTAAGTTCAATATTTGCATCCTTAACAGCTTGTGGTTTCATACACCCCAGCTATATTAATAAAGGTTCCTCTAAAACTGTACATGTATTGAGAATAGCTATTAACCATTATTCCTTGTCTTTGATTAGTTTGTTAGCTGTTAATCTTACCAAGAATAGGGAACTTTTATCCAATGTTTGTATTCTGTAGTAACAGCAATACAGACCCCATATCCTCTTAATTTATAGTCTATAGCAGCTTTGATCTTAATATCTAGTATGATATACTTTAATACCCTATACTTCAGGACTTCTTTATAATTAATTTTACGATAGGCGTATTGATCAACTTCGATGCAGTAGTAGATTTAGTTGATTCTTGTGTTAGATTTGTTTCCTCCCTCTTCACAAAGAACTTCTCTTTTCTTACAAATAGAAGAATCATTAATGAACACTAAGTTTGGTGTCCAAAATTATTTACAAGCTTCGCAACATGCTATTTCTCTTTATTACCAAAAACGCAAGTGAAATAAAAAGGATCTTTTAATGCTTCCTACATCATTATCACAGCTAAGAAGAAATCTCCTATTCAGTTTCTTCCATATACTCCAAAAGGGACAAAGTGGCGTCGACTTCCATGTTGCCTTCCGCACATCAACTTTGTTAATATATCCTTGTTTCACATAGTAGTTTGTATAGTCCCTCTTTTCTTGAAAGTTGCCTCCCAGAAGTCAGAATGGAAAAAATGATTCTTCTCTTTATGTGGATTATTGCAATGGTTTTCGGCTTTAGGGCTGTCACGAATGTCTATATATTTTATTCTTACTTGTTTTTTAGTATGTTGTCCAGAGACAGGAAATTGACCCTAAAATATTAAATTTCCAGTGACATCACATTTTGATTGGTGTAGTGTCGAAGTGTTAATTATAGCTATTTGCAGTTGTATTCTTGTAACATAACATTTTGATTGGTGTAGTGTCGAAGTGTTAATTATAGCTATTTGCGGTTGTATTCTTGTAATTTTAATTTTCTGGTCCTACTATGAGTTTTGCAGAAATCAGAGAATGACAGAGGATCAATCTGTGGTTGGTCGTAGAAGAATTTATTATGACCAGAATGGTGGGGAAACTTTAATTTGTAGTGATAGTGATGAGGAAGTACTTGAAGAAGAAGAAGAAAAGAAGGTGTTTGCAGAGTCTGAAGATTATATGCTGCGGTTGGTATAATTAAGCTACCTGAATTCAATTTCGCCCTGTAGTAGTAGTTTTGTCTTCTGGTATAAAGAGATTTTTTCAGGGAATACTTATTTTATTTATATAGTTTCAAGAAAAACGATGGTGTCATGTTTTTCTCTGAAGGAGTAATCATTCTTTTGCTAGTCCATTGGGGTAGACCATAAAGGGGGGGGGGTTAGTATTAGAGATTTGGATCAATATTTCCTCCCAATGTTGTTCGATATCCCCATAAAACGATGCATCTGTTACGTATGCCTTGGTTATTAATATGTATATGTATATTATACTTACATATACAAAACTTATACATTTGCTGCCTATTTTGTAAACTAGATCATACAAAGGCATATTGTAATTATCTCTACTTTTTTTTCCGATGTGTTGCTCTGTTCTTTAAGATGTACTTAATTCTTAAGCTAAATCTTGTTTTTCTCTGAATGTAAAACTGTTTTTATGTCACAAATACAATGGTTAAGATGATGTATCTTTGTCTGCTTATTCACAGAATGACTATCAAAGAAGTTGGCTTGTCCGATATTGTGTTGGATTTGCTAGGACATTGCTTGTCTAGAAAGCCTAGTGAAGTGAAGGTACATGCGTGGTTTTGATATTTGTTACACTTTACTATAAGTGCCCATTATCTAATAGAAAACTGGTCATAGTGTGAACTCTGGTCCAGCTGTTCCCCATTTTTTGGTTTTTGCTGACTCTACAGAGATAAAACACCACCAAACATTTATACAGGCAAGATATGAAGCTCTTGTTAAGGCAGATGATGTAGGCACTTCGAAGAATGAGTTCACGGAAAGTTCTTTAGATTTATATCTTGCCAAAGATCTTGATGCTGCTCTGGATTCTTTTGATAATCTATTTTGTCGTCGATGTCTTGTGAGTATATCTTTGGTTATTCCTCTTTACTTTTTCGCTACCAGACGACCACATTATATGTTAGATCAAATCTTCTGTCTCGCTGTTGTTTAATTTACTACTACTAACTAATAATATGTTCTCATTTTGCCCAAACTGGCAGGTCTTTGATTGTAGATTACATGGATGTTCACAGGATCTTATATTTCCTGTACGTTATTGGTCTTCCGACAGATGTTTCATTACCTTGGAACTGTGTGTACTCGAAATGGGATGCTTATGATGTCTTTTTACATTAATTAGGCGGAAAAACAATCACCATGGTACTGCTCCAATGCAGATATGGAGCCCTGTGGACCAAATTGCTTCAGCCTGGTATCTGTCTTCTCTTCTATTGTACAATGTCTGTAGATTGAGGATCAATTCAGCGTCCTGCTTTTTTTCTTAATATAAAAAATACTAGCATTTCAAATTAGGTATCTGTTCTGGTTTTTGTACCACATTTTGGACCAACTACCTCCAAATCTTATGTTTTTTTATTCACCTAGGCCAAAAAGTTCGAAAGTAATGCTACAGTGATCTCTCCTCAGTGTGCTAGTCATGGAGAAAAATCCATTCTGCCATCTGATGTTGCTAATAATACTCAGATGCCAGGTAGGAAGCATGTATCAAGAAGATCAAAGTCTTCAAAAGGTGAAGGTGCTCCAAATGCAAAAAACATCTCTGAGAGCAGTGATTCAGATATAAGACCCGTAAATGATATCACTTCTAATGAGCGTTCTTCATCTCCATCAAAAAGCAAATCTGACAATAAAGATGGCAGCAACAAAAGAAACAGCAAGCGAATAGCTGAACATGTTCTAGTTGCCATTAAGAAAAGACAGAAGAAAATGGCAGTATTAGAATCTGATACTGTTGCAAGTGAAAGTCTAGGTTTCAAAGATTTGAATCTTCACTCTATTTCACGGAAGGAAAATGAAGATGCAAGTCCATCTTCACAAAAAGCACAATGTCATAGTACTAAAAGGTCTAGGAGGAAAAACTCTCCGGTTTTGGACAGTAAAAATTCTTTGCAAGGCAAGGCTTTTGGTTGCAAAGTGATGGAAGTTAACAGTGAAAAACCTGTGGCAAATTGTGATGACACATTGGGGAAAAATGAAAAAGTGGGTGAGAATAACTGCAAACAAGAAGTAGATGGTACTAAATCTTGGAGACCCATTGAAAAGGCTCTCTTTGAAAAGGGTCTAGAAATGTTCGGCAGAAGCAGGTTGGTAAACTCCAAAACTTTGATTTACTACATCTCTGCTCTTAATTATGTGGCTTCTGTATATGTTGTGCATTTCATATTAGTTTTTGGTGTTTGGTATTATAAGGTGTGAAGTTTTCACTGGCTCATCTCTTGCCTTCTGACTAAAATGAAAATGATGCACTGCATTTTAGTTACATCCTTGTGCTAGTCTCTTGCTTTAAACAAGTTGGTCTGGATAACACCATTGTCCAATAAAGAAAAAAGACATGCTGGCTTGGATTACTTTTTTGATGCTGTGGATTCATCCCACAATGTAAATGCAGTTAACTGTTATGGATTGGTTTGATCCTGATGGTAGTCAGTAGGAAGACTTCTGCATTACTTATCATACGAGTACACCTGTCCAACTTGGCCTGTTATCAACTCACAACCTTTATAAATTTGGTTGCCACCAATGAAAGTGTGCACCAAGATTTCTATTTCAAAAAGAAAAAAAGTGTGCACCAAGATTTTCGACTGCTCAAAGCATACATAATGTAAGCTTCTTGTCACTAAATTGCAATCCTTTTTTTTTTGGATATGTCACTAACTTGCCATCCTTAAATGAGAGAGTATGTAAATTTATCCTAGGGTATTGTAGTTTGTGCAGGGAGTCATAGTTCATGATCTGATGTCACATGCTACTTGTTTTATTTTTAGTTTGGAATATATATCATATCTACCCATAAGGTGGCAGCTATCTTTACTCTCAGACATTAGAAACTTAGGGGCTGTCCTGTTTGATTGTCACAATGTTTGCACAATTACAATCATAAGGTTGTATTAAATTTTAAGAGTACTCTTTGGTTGCACAATTGCAATTATAAGGTTATATTAAATTTTAAGAATAAAAAATAATCATCTAAATTTAAAAATATATATTAGACAAATAAGAGACTTTATAACTGATTTTGAATTAAATATTTAAGATATATATTATCTTTTGAAAATATATTAATCAACAAACATGTTCTTAACTAATATTATAAAAAATAAATAATTTATATATTTCAAATTAGTATATTTTAATTAAATTTATAATAAAAACTAAAAGTAAAAGATTTCTATGAACATCATAAAATATATGTTTGACAAAAATTAATATTGTAAATATAATGTCATAAATTATGAAAACATTTGACAAAAAAATAATCTATCAAGTCCGACTAAAAAATAAATGACTTATCAAGTCAATAAAAATGAAGTTTGAAATAAAACATAAGTTCTAAATTCAATTTTTTATTTTTTTAGCATAACTTCCTAAAAATTGAAGTGTACTTACCACCTGCCAGTTACATCCAATTACTTGCTGACCAAATAACATGGCCCTACCAAACATGTTAGACAATGTAGTTATGCCCAATTACACCAAATTCAATTACTAGGATGACTTTCCAAACAGGCCTTTGGAAATTAGGATTGGTCCAGACGTATTAAGATGAACTAGACAGCCTTAAAGCTTTGTTATAATAAAAGTTCAAATGAGTTGTTCAAACCACTGACTAAGAAAACCTATTGAGGAACTCTTTTGTGTTTCATCGGTCACAAATTCCAAATTTTTTCCTTTGAATGATAAATTTGAGTGCCTTATGAACTTTATTTGTTATACAGCTGTTTGATTGCTCGAAACCTCATGAATGGTTTGAAGACATGCTGGGAGGTTTTCCAGTACATGAACAATTCCGGGAATAAGCTATTCTCAGGCACAGGTGATGGGATGGATGACATTCTTGAAGGTGGTTGCAATGGCGATGGTCAGGAAATCATGGTCAGTGTTTGCTTTAATATTTATATTTTGCCTGATGTTCTCTTGGTAAGGGAAGTTGAATCATAGCCCACTTAGTTAAAAACTATGGTGTTAAGGTTTCTTGATATAATTTTAGGGTGAACCTCGAAGAAGATCCAGATTTTTGCGTAGAAGAGGCAGAGTTCGCCGATTAAAATACACGTGGAAATCCACTGGATACCATGCAATTAGGAAACGGATTTCTGAGAGGAAGGATCAACCCTGTCGGCAGTTTAATCCATGTGGCTGTCAAGGCCCCTGTGGAAAGGAGTGTCCCTGTATTGTAAATGGGACCTGCTGTGAAAAATACTGTGGGTAAGCCATCATTTTTTTCTTGAAATTGTATGAGATTTTCTCATTTAACATTTGCTTTTTACATATCAAAAAAGAGATTGCTATGAGATGCCATGAAGCAAGACTCAGTTTCTTTTGCCATACACGGTGTTAATCATTGATTTAATGCTTTGGTTAGCTAATGATCCTTGAATGCTTTGCTATTCTTGTTTCCTAGATGCCCAAAGGGTTGCAAGAATAGGTTTCGTGGTTGTCATTGTGCCAAAAGTCAGTGTAGGAGCCGTCAATGCCCTTGCTTTGCTGCTGGCAGGGAATGTGATCCTGATGTTTGTCGAAATTGTTGGATCAGGTGCGCTCCATTAGTCATGCTGTTATTTTCTGTTGCTTTCTAGTTCCTGGAAGTTGTTAACTTATTAGTACTTGCTAATCATCTTGTCCTTCTAGTTGATAGTTGTCGTGGCTTTACCCCACCTCAAATCTCACCTTTACCAAAGTGAACGAACTTAATTTTAGTACTCATCTTCTTTTTTTTTTCATGTGCCTGTTATTTGGATTTCCCAGTTGTGGCGATGGTACGCTTGGGGTTCCTCCACAAAGAGGTGATAGTCATGAATGCAGGAATATGAAACTACTTCTCAAACAGCAACAGAAGGTACTTATATTTGTTATTTCTTCTTGAAATTGGTGAAGGTTTACCACATAGACAAGTAATATGTTTGTCTTACTTTCCTTTTTAGTCTGTTTAAAAAGAATGCCTCTTTCCTAATTTGGCAACTCTAGGCTTATGAGGATGCATTATGTTCGTCTACAGGTACTTCTCGGAAGATCTGATGTTTCTGGCTGGGGGGCCTTCTTGAAGGTAAGATCTGACAATTGATGGGATACATATAGCAGAAACATGTTTCTTTGCGCCTAACTTTAAGCATTATTTCAGAATACTGTTGGAAAACATGAATACCTTGGGGAGTACACAGGTGAATTAATTTCACACCGTGAAGCTGACAAGCGTGGCAAAATTTATGATCGTGAAAATTCTTCATTTCTCTTCAATCTTAATGATCAGGTATGAGACATGACTACCTCTATACTCTGCTATTTGTATTTAGTCCCAAAAACTTTCTCATTAACTATGTCATATGAATCACTTGTTTTTTTTTCCTTCTGCAAAAACGTATGATTGTGAAAAATCTACATTTCTCTTCAGTCTTAATTATCAGGCATGAGACATGACACCCTGTATACTCTGCTCTTTGTATTTAGTCCTTCAAATTAACGGTCTCATACACTGTCATATGAATCACATATCTTTTTGTCCGCTGCAGTTTGTGCTTGATGCACACCGGAAAGGTGACAAACTAAAATTTGCGAACCATTCTCCTGTTCCAAATTGCTATGCTAAGGTAGTTGAATTCACATAAAAAAAATTCCAGGTCATGTTAGAATTCCTGTTTATTTATTGTTGAATTAACTCTTTTGATAGGTCATGATGGTGGCTGGAGATCACAGAGTTGGTATCTTTGCTAATGAAAGAATTTGCGCTGGAGAAGAACTCTTTTATGATTATCGTTATGAGCCAGACAGTGCACCTGCCTGGGCGAGGAAGCCCGAGGCATCTGGTACTAGGAAAGAGGATGCTGCTCCTTCAAGTGGTCGTGCTAGGAAGCATACATAATTGAGTGCCCATTTAACTGATTTTTTGATCCGTTAATTCTCATTCTTTTGCGCAACTCATCATTGACGACCACCAGATAGAGCTTCTAATCATTCCATTCCTGGAGAGGCCATTGCAATCTCCATTTAACTGATTATAGACTTTTTTTTGTTTTGGACTAGGCCATTCTCAGATTTGAGTATATTCAAGCGGGAAAATGATTATATGCTTAGTAGCTTCATCAAACATTGTTTTTCATGTAAACAGAGAATGCACATTGATCAATTATTTTCCCAATACCATCTTGGAATATCGTATCTTAGGGGAAATAGGATGTCTATCCATGAAATTGATTGATCGTCTTGTGCTGTTATAGTAATTTTGTTCTATTGCATAACACCTGGATGAGAGCATATGCAATTATGCATTGGTGAAATTTAATACTGGTTTACTTTTACATCCTCATGACTCAATGGTTCCTAAAGGTGAAGATCTCTTTTCGACTAGCAATTTTAGGTACTAGGTTCTTATGCTATGTTTAGACTAGCAATTTTAGGCTAGGTTCTTAGGTATACTTTTACATCCTCATGACTCAGTGATTTTCTTGCTCCATTTTAGTGTTTGTTAGTAATCCCTTGGTCCGTCCCCGTAGCAAGCTTCTTATTGGCTTCTCACCTTGGATTGAGAGTCGGTCTTCTAATCCGAAAGAATAGTTGTCTTGAAGAATAAATTATCCATGAACATTTAGGTACAATTAGATAAATATTACTCCCTCCGTTCCGTTTTATGTGACACAATTTTCTTTTTGGTCAGTCCCAAAAAGAATGTCATATTTCCTTATATGGTAAGTATTTAAAGATACAATTTCTGTTTTACCTTTGTTGGTCCTACTTGATTTTAAATAGTATTCTATTATATTTAAGAGGAGAAAGAAAAGTAAGTCTACTTTTGACGGACAATTTGGTAAACAATTCAAAGTCTTCATTTATTTCTTAAACTCCATATCTGGTCAAATGATGCTATATAAAATCGGACAAAAGGAGTATAACATTGGACCTGGACTCGTATTCCGACCTGAGACCTACTTGACTCCAACATCTAACACGGCCTCATTTTTAGCATTACTTTCAAAATACGGTTGGAAAACATGAATACCTTGGGGATGTATATAAGTGAATTAACTTAACATCGTGAAGCGACAAGCATGACAAGATTTATGATCGTGAATTTTCTTCACCTTTCTCTTCAGTCTTAATTATCAGGCAAGCGACATGACAATTGTTCTTAGATGAATTAATACATATCTATTTTATTCCAAAATAAGCTAGTGCTACAAGTCTTAGTACAAACGAGAAATAAAAGAAATCTATATTATATACACGCATTGTCATGTGCATAAAAAAATTTAAATTTAAAATATTTATACACGTGTCCGTGTGTATGTATCACCGCACTACTTGAAACTGAGTCTTGGCTCCACATCAGCATAAAAGATGCATGAAAATACAAAAAAAATTAATTTGGGGAGGGGAGAGGGGGGGGGGGGGGGGAGGGAGTAATAGGACCCTAGTAAAATTAATCTGTGTCGCTAAGATTTTAGTTATAATTCAGGGGATACTTATGTCTTATCCCAATTTTTATTTATAGTTATCTAGTTTCTGGAAAGCGCTTTGCACATGTATTACATGTGAAATCTTATAAATTTGTTAGAACATAAAAATTCTATGAGAACACACATGTTATGAGTAATAAAATACTAATTTGAGCCTAAATAAATATACAAATTAAAGAAGTCTACTATGGAAAAAATACAAAAAAAAGAGAAAAAAAATACAACTTACACATTCTTATTAGGACTGTAATCGTAAGAATATTGATGAAAAAAGAAATATAGAATCAATACAGAATTTTTCGAGTTCTTGTCGACTTCTTCTCCCATATAGCCTCTTCATTGATCCAAACAAAAGCATGAATCAAATAAAAAAATAATGATATAAACACTCTACTACTCTAATTATTATGAAAAGCATAACCTTGAATAAGAATCGCGTGGACCAACAAAATTGGATTTATAAATATAAAAATGGAAGAATACTAAAGTATCTTCAAATTTTGAAACTAAATATTTATAGGTTATAAATATAATAAGTATGAAAGTTATAAATTCCTAGATGTCGCCGACACTCGAAAATCATTGACGGCCCCCAAGCAAACCCTTGACCTGAATGATTGTTTAGTAGAAGACCAACTCAAGCATTATTAAGTTTAAAATATGAAGAAGAGCATATCAAAACATATATAAAATCTAAAACTGTATGAGAATACTAAAATATAAAAATTCAAAGTTTTAGCAAAACATCCAAATAAATAAATAAATATTGAAAGACTCTCTAACTTTGTGTGTCCATGAATCCTTTATTGTCTAAAAAATATGGTGTTGGGCAAGACCCACGACACCTCAAAATCTTAGGACTACTTAATCAATAAAATTAGAGTCCTTCGAGAACAAGGATACCTCACCAAAAGCTAATAAGTGTAGGGTGTGATCTCAATAAAATGCCTGTTGATAATTCTAAATACCTATATCATCATCAAGAAACGATACAGGTCAAATGAAATTTGTACATTGAATGTACAATATGTAATAAGGCTGAATGAAACCATATCACTGAACTGGAAGACTGAAAGTAGACTTAAATGAAGTATAACATAAAACATGAGAAGTGATAATAGTGCATATTGAAATATAGAAACAACTATTTTACTTCATTAGAGAGTTTCTCTAACCGATAAACATCACTATGAACCTCGTAATGATACAATATCTTACCCATGTTTCCAGAGCCACCCTATACCTTATCGAAGTATAGAATATAGTTGTACTAATGGATCCATCTAATAGGATATCTCAGTGGCAATGAGGAGTAACCTGAGTGTCGGACTAATCCTATTCTACGCTGACTACGTAGTTTATGCGGATATGAGTTACCTGAACTCTTATCCAAATTCATATTCAATACTAATACCAAAAATATAATTATATGATCATATAAAGTACTTATTGGGCTAAGTTAATTACTCAAAAAACCCTCTTCAAATCAGTTTGAAATAGTTCTGAAAACTCTTTATGCTTTTATGAAAATAGTGCTTTCTTTTCAATGTAAAGTAATACATTTGAGGATCATTATAGCCCCCTCGAACTCCTCTTAAAAGATTTACATTTAAAATTAGTCTTGGACTCACTTTAATTTCTAAAATCCATATAAGGAATGATTGTCGTGACAAAAAGAGTGACAACATGGAAGTGATGATGTTAGTCTCGAGATCTGATCTGGTAGACTTGACATAGAGTAGGTGAAGAACTAAGAGGTTAGTTACAATGAATGTGAGTGGTACAAGTATGATATTCTAACTTTTAGATAACAGCACTGAAGTGTGTCTAAGTCATAAGAGCAACAAGAGCATTAAGAGGTATACCCGATATTGTATGTAATCATACAAGGTTCCAATTAAGTTTATTATTTACATGTGTGCCTAGATATCATATTTGAGTTTTCAATGTGGAGTCGGTTGATTTAAGTATTAATCATTACCCTTAAGAGTTTGTCTAACAATCGAGTTTCGTCGTTATAGAAAAGCCAAGGGGAAAATTTTTTGAGTCGAAGAACATTTTTGTAGTAATTTAAAATTTCTCAACCTAGTCCATATTTGGACGAAATTGGAGTTATTTCGGTGTAGGTAAATATGGTATCAATTGGGTGAATTATAATTTTGATTACATTACAGGATAAACAACTCGTTAAGGAATCCGTTACGATATTACGGAATTGAATACGGGTGAGTAAACTCTTGGAATCGATCTTAGCGTGAAGGGTATTTTCTGAGTGTCATGGGTCAGAGTTTTGTTGTGAAATGAGAATATTGGATTTCATTAATTAGCTCATTGCCCCGCGTAACCCGCCTTGGCGGAGATTTTTGCCGCTCTAGTGGAGCCACTACAGTGGGGTAAGGGCCGCTGTGGCGGGCTCAATGTGACTTAAGGTCGTTAATAAACCCCTAATCAAACATATTATGCACTTTTAGACTCTTTGATCTAAGAAACGAAATTCATATGACTCCTCCTTGTTTTTCACCATTCTTGAGGGTAAAGATAATCTTTTCACTCACTGAATCAGTTTTTCGATCCGTATGACATAATAGAATGAATTAATATTGATGGGGGAGGGTTTTGATGTAAATTTCATGGTGTAAACAACCCTAAATTATATACTTTGGTTCATGAAATGATCTAGGGTTTATAAACTCAATATAGTTTCGGTTATTAGCAATTGTTTGTTGATTTCGTGTTATTATGATAGTTTGTAGAGCAAGAACAAGAAGAATGAATCCAAAAAGGGAAGGAACAAGTGTCTTTGAGTTTCAAACTTGTTTTGTGGTAAGTTTTGATTATGATTCTATGATTGTGCGATATACGTATGTATTGCTTCATTGTGATACTTGTGTGCATATGACTGTTGCATTATTGATAATACTTATTGTCACATCCGAGTTTACCCCTAGACGTAATCGGCATTGTCGTCCTTTTCAAGGACTAAGACTAGCCTCTTAGTTCATGTCGTTACATTCATAGGTTGAAAAATGCGGAAAAATTTAAATCTTTTACTTTGTCTACTTGGAGGTTTACATAGGCCTCTACATACACACAATATATATTCATATCGAGAATATATAGACCCTTCATATAGGAAGGTCACATAGCCTTCTACTTTTATTGCACATATACATATAAAAATATAGAAATAGTCTCAATGATTGTCTCGTCTCATATTATCTAAACGAATGTCACAATATGGGCACAACCCTTAGATCAATTCAACAATACCATGTATAGGTCATACGAAAATACAATATTCAAATAACAAGGAAAGGAATGATAGAGTCAATAAGCCTATAACAAAGACCAAAGCTAGAAGATTCCATTGCCCTCAAAAGTTGAGAACCTACCTTACTTGGATGAAAGGAAGAATCCAAACCTTCAACGATAACGCCTTCCAAACTCTTCAATGATCGGAACCTAAAATGTTTGGGACAAGGGAAGAAAATGAGGTTAGCACTCCACATATACTTAGTATGAGATCTTATGCACATACGCAAACAAAACATACTACAAGGGACTTTTTATCAAAACATGCTATTTTACCCCTTTTTGGGGATAAATGCAAAGTCAAGTAAGTCATATTAATCAACCAAACATACTTACTATCTCAACAAGTAACACTTATACCAACACACTTAGAAT